TAGTATAGTATAGTATAGTATAGTATAGTATAGTATAGTATAGTATAATGGGGAGTGGTGGCACAGAGGTTAGAGAAGGTGGGCCTGTGATCGGAAGATCGCCGGTTCAAGCCCCGGTACCGACATCATCAAAAATGTGGGTGGGGTAGGTGAAGCACCCACACCTGCCCCCACCCTCATTCGTCCCATCTTGGGCCCTTGAGCAAGGCCCTTAACCCCCACCATCTGCTCCTCCGGGTGTCCTAGATAGCAGCTCTCTGCCCCACACAGAGGGCTGTGGTAGCTCGGTGGTCTGTGGTTGCGTCAGGAAGGGCATCCAGTGTAAAAACAAACAAACTGCCAAGTCTTTGTGCGACTTAGTTCGCTGTGGCGACCCCTAGCGCAGGAAGCAGCCGAATGAAGGATAGGATAGGATAGGATAGTACATGTATAGGCAAAAGAAAATATGTTTTGAGAATAAACAAGGCCGTGATTTGCGAACCTCAAAATGTTTGGATGCTTGATCCCACAGCATGACATGCAAACTTGTGAGTGCCAGTGGCGTCAGCTGTTTGCCAGTATAGTGGCCTGTGGGAATGAATAAAAATGTCATCTTACTATAAAGCAGAACCTGCTTCAGTGTCAAATTGTTATTCTTTCTAACAAAACAGTGAACTGTTAAAGAATTGACTTTGAGTAGGGTACCACTGATGATGTCTTGTATCTTCTGTTTGGCCAGCAGCTCTTTGCCTTTCTGCAGCAGTAGCTCAATGTGCATGACAAGAGCATTTCCCAGGTCAGGGGACGACTCAAAGTGCTGACACGTGAGTTTCAAATACTCAAATGCCAGCAGTTCTCTAAAATAATCAAAACAGATCAAATGTTGAGCTAGATAGTTACCAACCAAAGAGAAGTAAAGTGTACTGTCTCTTTGCACGTAGGGCCGTGGAAGTAAGTTGAGGATTTCTGTAACAAGGGATCAAAGGTTTGAGGGCTTTTACCTGTCTTCAGCCATGAGTAGCTTCACAACACTCAGAAAGACTTCAAGAGAAACTTGGGATTCCAGCATCTCGTTAAGTCCTGAAAACATATGTTTGTGATTTGCTTTCTAATGTACTACATTTCTACCTAAGCTGAACTGCCCGTAGAGACAAATTAACACTTCCCAGGTTCCAACAAGCAGGATCTTTTACTGTTGGAGCTTGGGAGGCTCTGAGGGAAAACCGACCTGAGTCAGGAAGAGTCTCAGGAGAAGTTACATCACTGTAGAGACTTGTAGTAGTTTTAGAGGATCAAAGTAGCAACATTTTATCATTCTTCATTTTATGTCTCCAAAGTCTTTGTAAATGACACCCCACTGTGGCCCGAGTTAATCAAATTCTGCATAAATAATTCATTGAGGTTTGGTATTAACTGACCTGCTTTGATATGATTATCTGACGCTCTACATCTCAGGAGGATTCTTATCTTTAAATACAGTCCAGATGTGCTGGCACACTCCTGCCAAAATGCACAGAACCATGATCATATTTCCAAACGTAGATCTCAGCCACAAAGTGAAAGTCCTTTCTCCATCCCACCTTGTTGGCTAAGTTGACAGCATTCAGCATCGTCTCCTGAAAATTGTGGCAGTCCCACTCCAGGTAAACAGTGGCAAGGAGCCGCAGAACCTTGGCCTGTTCAGAAAGACATGTACAAATTATATTATTTTAAATGTATGCCTGTCAAAATGGCTTTGACTTACTGTAGATCTGTACTGTACAGACTTACCAGAACATATTTTCTAGGGCCGTATTTCACATTTGTTTTTCCAATATCATGGCTTTGCCTGAAGACGAGAAAACTTTCCAACTTTTTAGCTTCTAAACACTTTTTCTTTGCACTGAACATCATATTTACCTCAACCACATAGCACTGTCCTCAAAATTCCTCAGATTGTAAAATTCTAATCCAAAGTTGTAGCACATGAGGGAGAGGTATGCTGTCTGTGTTCAGAGAGTATGTTTGCAGTTAACATCCCCCTCACTTCCAACAACATGTGCAGTGAATGTGACAAATCAATATCAAGTCTTGTTACAGTGATAACAGGAAGTGATTGTTTTACCTCTTCTGGTCGCCGCTGCAACAAATCTTTACAACGCTGCATGAGGACCACAGCTTCTTGATTTTTACCCTGAGTCAAGGCCTGTAAAGATCAGACTTGAACTTCCGACTAAATGTCAGCAAACATTGTGACGCTCCCTATCTGCAACTGAAAAATTTTCCCCTCTCATTGTTTCTCGGTTCACATTTTAGCTGTCTCACACTTCACACTGCAAGTCTGTCAGAACAGCACTCCCTAAGCTGCCAAATATCACAAGAACAAATATTCACATTGAAGGTGTCGAACATCACATCACATGCTCACCGACTCTGCCTGGCAAGACAGAATTCGAAGTAGGTCCTTCTCCACATCCACTTTGGATGAAGAGCTGTCAGCTGTTGCATCGCCTCTGGACGTTAGTAGGCTGTAGAGGGTTTCCAGGCTCTAGGGATCCAGCATGTTGTCATTTGTAAAAGCACCATATTTCTGTTTGCTCTAAATTGCACAGATCTAAGCTCTCTCTCTCTCAGACTACTCATTTTTTATTCACCTTGACAGCAAGACTCAAGAAATTATCTGCCATCTGGGGATTTTTGCAGTCCAGCCAGGTTCTCCCTGTTTTGCTGGCCATCTGCAAAGATTAGACACTGACAAATGGGCCTTGTCCTCTTGTAATGCTGAGCATTCATATAGGATGCCTGGAGTACTGTTTACCAGAATCTGCTTGCGAATGGCGCCTTCTGTTGGATTCTCTGGCTCACAGCAGTACAGCAGGCTGCAAGCAACATGACGGACTGCATAGTAAAAAAAAAAAATGTTGCAGTATGATGCAATGTAATTGAGACCAACATGCTCACAACTTTCACACTATCTCCAAATTTAAAATTATATAAATATTTTCTGTTAGCATAAATAATATTGAAACAGCTACTCTCAGGATACCTTTGGCATTTTGGATTTTACTTAAAGCAGCACCCATGTTTTTAGTGACTGCCCAGTTCCACAGCTGGATGGCACATTCCTCAAGCTGTGTAAATTAGAAAATAGATGAATTTTACAGATAATAATATATAGTATTACTATTATGTTTAAAAAAACACATCAGTTTGGTGGCAGTTAAACAGATTTTATAAGTAAATCTTCAAAACTTGACTGAAATAAAAAATTATGACAAGTAAATTAAATAAACCTAACATAAATATATATCAGGTTCATAACTGTTCAAGAAACAATTAACTTTGTTTTGATTTATTATTTACCACTATTACACTTTTCTGAGCAGGGGTGTGTCGTACAAACCATCTAATACACTTTAAACTACCTGCAAATCTGGTATTTTGGTGAACTCTAAACTGGAGACTTGAGAAAAAAGTTTCTCTATGACTTCATCATAATCTGTCAGATGTTTCTGCATCAAGTTCTCTGTGAGACCTGTGGAGAAGTAAAAGCAAATGAAATATATGCCAACAGGACATCAAGAGCAGACATGTTTCACTGTGCCACAGAGATAAATCTAACTTTCAGTTCAAAGAATGAACAAGAATAAAGTTATGATACATTATTTGCAGAACTCACTCCTGACAGCAACTTTAATTCATAGTGGAAAATATATAACAGTGTTTGAGATTATCTTTATCGTCAAATAACGTACAAAAAAGTTATTTTGCATCTGGTTGCAATTACATCCTATCCTTTTTGACCTATTTATTTAGATATCTGTGTGTTCATATAATTAAGCTGGAGAGCCAATGATTGACTGAAAGGACTTCACAGCCAATTTTAAACGATTATTTTGCACAGGAACATTGTGTCATTCATGTAAAACCAAAATAGTTTTTCAGGTTAAAAACCTTTTTACCTTGAAAAAATAAAAACATAACTAACATCATTACTCTACAGAGATTGTTCTGCTTATCACTGCATGATATGTCTTTATTCTCCACTTGCAACATATAATGATTTTTTTAAATAATTTCTGACAGATTCAAAACTATCACATTTATGTTCCCAATAAGTGTCCTTTACTACAACCATCCATGTAACACATATCCAAATTTCAAAAATTTGTATTACCTTAGGTCACATCATCATGAAGATTAAGTCTGTAAACTTAAAAAAAAAAAAAAAAAAAACCTCAAATAAAAATAATAATTTATTTAAAGTATGAGTCACCAGTTTCAAACATACTGCAGATGTTAAGGATCAATTTATAAAGCCTAGCCAAATAAAAGTCATACATGGTTTGTTGGACCACCTGATTTAAACAAGAATTTTCTATGCCATTGTTTCATTTAGTTTATGTTACAGCATTTACCTTAAAGTTAAAACATAACATTATGTCTGGCACTAAACTCCATGAAGGCCCAGAAAGGCTGGAGGATAAAATATGATTAATAAATTGATATTTTAGAAGAGTTCTGAGCCCGTTCCTTCATTTATTTAAGATCTATAGGTAATATTTGCCAAGCTTCATTAACTGAGACATTTAGATCATCGAAAACATATATTTGAACTCACTAAAATCTGGTGAATGACAAAAAAAAAAAAAAATCAAGTAACTTGTTTAAGTTTTTGAACACATACTGTTGGTAAACCTAGACCAGATTAAAATATAACCCACAGGGTTGTACAACAGGCATGAAGAGTAAAAGATAAGTGACAGATTGTAACATTGGAGTTTAAATAACATGTTTGCAAGTTTAAATACATAGATTAATCACTGTAAGAGAACCTTTGCTTAGTTAATATCAGCTTGTGACACTTTTCTGGCCAGGCATGGCACTTTATATCACAGATTACTTTTAGTGAAACTCACACTATTTACAGCTCAATCAACACTTTCAAAACAAGCTCTATAGCAATTATTGTCTCTGCATGCATATTTCTACACACACATAGGACTCAGATAATATTACCTGCATAACGTTTTGATTAGGTGTGCAAAGCAATGTGCGTTTTAGACAAGTAACAAAAAAAAATTAAAATCTTGGCAAACAAAAAAAATCATTTTTCGCAAATAAAACATCTTTACGTTCAAATTGCTCTCCTGATACCAAGAATTACTGTACGTGTAGTAATTTATAGCCATTTTGGCTCCATCATGTTTAGACACATTACACTTCATCTGAGGAAAGACAGGATGTAATGTAAAACAGCTGTGTACACACTAAAACCATAAGTCTAGAGACATAATAAATAAAACTGTTACACGCATTTTAGAGCAAGTGTGGCTCATCAGACTAAAAGAAAAACATTAATTTATTGCCAAAGTTAACATTATTTGACAGTTATGATCAGAAGTGCTTCTAGAATCAGCTAAAGGAAGAATAAATGATGATGTCAGGATATTTTACCATTTTTGACTGACTACAGATTGCAGAGTTGTATGATTTATTTTTCTTAAACTGCTAAAAACACAACAAAAAACATATTTCACTTCAGACTAGACTTTTGTCACTTTATTAGCTGAATTTAAGCTATATTATTAGCCTAATAAAAACTAAAAGAATCAGTATTCCTGGAAGGAATGCATGCACTGCCTTTTGTCAAAGTTTTCAAGTATGTGTCATGAATGACTCTCAGCTACTACCTCGCAGAACTTTACCACAACATCTGTAAAACTGACTGAATTGTAGTAATTTTTGCATTTTCTAGGGTCATTAACAGTGGCGGCCATCTTGAGTTGGGTTGGCTTAAAAGTTAATCAGCTGTAGAAGAACACCCAATGATTGTTTCCTGAAAGTTTCATTAAAATCCACCTGGTGTTTTTCAGTGGTGGGATGTAACTAAGTACAAGTACTTTGTTACTGTACTTAAGTACATTTTTCATGTATCTGTACTTTACTTAAGTAGAGTTAAATGTGGGTACTTTAACTTTTACTCCATTGCATGTTACATTAAGCATCTGTACTTCTAGTACTACACTACATTTCTATAATGCGTTGAGTTACAAGTTACATTCACGTTGCTTTTTTTTATTTGTTCGTTAGTTTGAAAGTAAACAATGGTGAGAGGGGAATTGGTCCACTGAATCACTGTAAAGTGGGCAGGTAATGTTAGACCCGCCTTCAAGAAGAGCTGGGCCAACGACATATATTCTAGTATATACATCACTGAGCTGGGCGCACTCACATCATCATCATCGCTAACACACCCAAAATGGATTCCACTGCGGAGAGTCAGCTAGAAGATACGCACCACCCAATGTCTTATTGAAAGACTATTGAAAGACTATTCAGTACAGCAGGACAGATTTTCTCTGCCAAAAGAGCCAGACTGGACTTAAAAACTTTGAAAACCAACTTCTTCTGAACTTGATCAAGAAATTCTTGCTGCAATATTAAAATGTGTCAGTTCATGGGATGTTAGGACAGGAGACAAGAGATGTCTCCAAATGATTTAACACTCGGGTCCAAGTTTTGAAAATGGGGTCAGGAAGTTAAAATATTGTTCACTATTGACCCATTACAAGGTTGACTAGACAATATAACTAGAGTTGATGACAAACTGGAGTTGAAATGATCAGTGTCTGTGCCTTTGTTAGGTGTGTCTAATGTCCCTTTTTTCAGGAAGACAACTTTTACTTAAATCTGCAGTTAAAATGACACATTGGTTTTGCTTTGTGTTAAATAAAAACTTTCAAAGGTATAATCATTCTTCTTTCTTATTTTGCTTAATGGCATTTAACTCTGCAGGTCATCCCAAAACATGCATTTTCTGCAGCGTTGTTCATTAAAATGGCACAACACTATTAATGTATTACAGAAAATATACATAAGGTAGGCACACTTAATGATATTGTAGACCATTGCATTAGGTAATACATTCAGCAAATACTTTTACTTTTAATACTTTAAGTATTTTTAAAAGCAAGTACTTATTTACATTTACTTGAGTAAAAACATTACTGTGGTACTTCTAATTTTAATAGAGTACATTTTTGTCTGTTTATTTGTACTTTTACTCAAGTACAGTGTTTGAGTACTTTCTCCACCACTGGTTTTAGATATTTTGCTAACAAAGTCAACTCAAAGGGAAAAGATCTTACACGGTTTATTGGTGCTTAACAACAAAATAATAAAGAAGAGAAAGTTGTGTTTCATACTCGATTCCTGTTCATTTTTAGCCTAATTACATCAATGAACACTAGTGAGTTGTTTAAAGAAGTCACTGCCGCTTAAGTGTCCACTTGTAGACAGTTACCGGTAATAAATGCAGACATAAACTGAGACTAGCTTGAAAAATCAATAGAACATAAATAAATGAGGTATTCAAGTATGTATATTTTACTGACAGTTAACTAGTTACAGTATATCTTAAAAGAACATATGTCTGATAATTCCAGCAAATTGGAAGCACACAAGCTACTAGCTAGCGAACTGGAAACTTTTGGGATGAGTGGTACCTGTTCAGTTAGCAAGGTTACAGTAATGTGACGATGGTTCATAATTTAACAAATTGTACTTAGTCAAAGTAAGGTGAATTATTACTCACATTTCACAACTGAGACAAATTCCTCCATATTAGAGGTTTCTCTTTAGAGCAAATGTCAGGTCAGCCTTAATTTCACAGAAGGAAAATGCCCGCGAAAAAGAGCGTAACGTCTGTGCTAAAGTTGCGTTCAAAGAAACTTGGAATTCCTAAGATTTTACCTTTATGGTAACCAAACGAGCGTTGTTGTCTAAAAATTGTTGCAAAATTTTTATTGTTTGCTGTATATTTTTGTCCTTTACATTTGTTGGCATGAATATTACTTGTTTAAGCAACAAAGCTATGTAAAAACATGATTATTTTTCATTTGATTTTATTCTTTGTATAATAGAATTTAAAATTATTTTTTTATATCCGTACCCACGTACACTGAAAGCAACATTTTACCCTTTATATTTACCGCGTCACAGTTTTTACATCACGTTTACATTAAGCTATGAATGTTAGAATTTCAACCCCTTATTTTAGTATTAGGTGACTTGATCCTGACACATATTAAGTATGAATATAGCATATTTGCATATATATAGCAGAATTGAGCATGCATCAGGATAAGTATGAATACATTTGTTTTTACCATTTCTCAACAATTTTCTCACTAATTTTAAGGAATACTGGTCCACAGTACTAAATAACCCAATCAAAAGTTTATTATCTGTTTATGACAATGGCAAAATCATGGACTTCACATAGGCTAGAGTCAATAATAGTGACACAGCAGAAAAAATGAGTAAAACTGAGCAAAAAAAAACA